ATACTCGAGTTCTACTGGAAGGTGACATGCTTTTCCGTAAACTAGGTTGAAACACCTTTGTTTTTAGGGGAAACACTTTTTATAGAGAAGGAGTCTAAAGGACGAATATTTACCAAGATTTTTTGAATTTTTTTTTTCAAGACAAACTGAGTTTTCTCCTTTTGTTGAATCATTCCAATGAAAATGTAGGTCTCCGTCTTCAGTGACTCAAACCCGCGTTGATCCTCTTTCCATCTAAAGGCATAGCATGCATAGATGATAAATCACATAGCATTACAAATTTACCTCCCCATAAATGTCTTCAATTCACCAACCCATCAATGTTCTTCTCACTTTATTATCAATCTCATTCCTTGCAGACGCGCTACGAGCTGGAACAAACAGAAACAGTTTTCATCCAGGAGAAATCTGGAGTGTTTTTCTCAGCTTTTGCTGATTTATTAAACCCAAAGTTCAGTGTGGTGTCTTATGACACGTAAATGATTAAGCATGAAGCATTTCAGCTTTCTGATTTGAACGTAACATTCTCTTTATCGGGATCCACGATCTTGTTAGCTTATCCCTTCATAATGAATCTTTGTGAATCTGTTAGAAAATTGGATGTGGATCACTAATTAGGGTTTTCTATATCAAAGGATGTGGCGACTTTTTGTGATTGGATTAGTGTTTGTTTTCGATTTATCAGTACTTTTGTTTTCTCAGTTGTAACTAGTGCGCTATGAATCTGTTTGGATCAAGATTCTTGTTTTAGCTTAATTTTTTAAATTCGGATTTACTTTCACAAATATTGCATACCTGATGGCTAGCGCAAAGATTAACTATCAAACACTAACAGTCTAACACCACCACATTGATGTAAAGAAATAATAGAAAGAAAACAAAAATGGCAAGGATCATCGTCTATTTAGTCCATCTTTGATGCTCTGCTTCTCATCAGCGAATATACATTAAGTGTTTTCTATATTTAAATACACTTTTAGTGTTTTCTCCTACTCTTAAACGAAAACGGAAATATGAATTCCTGATTAGTTTTACTGAATATATATGTTTATCTTCTCATTGAAATCATCTCTTCAGATTCAAAAACATATATACAATAGTCCTTCAAGATATAAAAATATTCATAAAATTTAAATACAAAAAAGGAAGGTAATTTTAAATTACCTCATTTTATGTACTCAACACCAAGATAACAACACATGTATGGCTAATGTTAGGGAGAGAAAGAGGGGGACACAAGAATTGAACTTAGTGTTAAGTTTTGTTATGTTGGAGTTACTTAACGAAGCGGTTTTGTTTTAACTGGGCCTTGTTAATCATTATTTGGAATTACTTTTTTTTTTTGAACATCGGTTTTCATTCATAGCCGGATTATGGGAAGACAAGGTAACGTATTGACTGTTTTGTGATCCCATCGGCCAATATGTTGGCTGAGCGTGCGATATAATCAATGGAGGTACATAGACTATCATATCGAGTATACAACTTTGGATACAACTTTGATAATGCATTGTGTGTTTTAATCCTCGTCCTGAGTATATGTCCCATATAGCATCTATGCTTTTAGTTGCTTTCATTAAATGCTTCGTCTAGATTCACATGGATTGCCAATATTTCTCATCAGAATTAAGTCATCTTTCTCACCTTAATCATCCTCTCGTGTTCATCACATCTGAGTCACACATATCTATATAAGGAAAATAATTGATCAGAGATTCAGAGTGACTGCTATATATCTTTTAGACAAAAATTAAATCGGTTCAAGACCTTTTTTAGTATGGAGAAGAGTTCGTGTCATAATAATAATGTATAACACAGTTAGACCATGTTTATTGGGGGTTTAGCCCATGTTTTTGGCCCAGTTTCATATACATTTTGTTTAAAAAATAAATCATAAAGAGAAAAGAAACTAAGAACCGCTCTCTTTAGCGAGGGGGTTTAAGAGCCCGTCTCTTAAGGTGATGTGACGGCTTGGCATTCGAAATAAAGTTCGTGATAGACAAATACATGAACGATAAAAAGGATATTTAATTGAACATATCTATAACAAATTTGGCAATTCTCAAGAGTAGAACTAAAAGTTTTATGATTTTAATATCTACATTTTGTATTTCTTAAATCTCATGTAATGAATTCAAAATCTTGTTTTATAAGAAATGTATGTTTAAAATTAAGAGCAAAAAAAAATTTTAAAATAATATTTCACAGGATTTACCAATAGAAGACCTAAATACTAACAGATTTTTCACTATTCATATTTCAAAAAAAAAAAAATATAAAATTCTTATGAATCCCAAAGAGGGGTTCTCTAATGTACATGCTCTTAGAGCATATCCATCTCTAAACTCTTCAAAGGATTCTTAATTTTTTTAAATAATATGATGGGACCCATTTGATTTTCTTTGCACCAATTACAAGATACGAAAACGAAATGGTGGAGTCCATTTGCTTTTCGTCTCACTTTTCTTCTCACTTTTCACCATTTGGGACCCTTTTGAGTTTATAAGAGCATCATCAATGGTGAATCCCTCATGAAATTCACCCCAAATTTTTTATTAATAAAATTTTGAGAAGAGAGGAAAATTAAATTCGGGTCAAATGTTTTACGAGAAGAGAGAGAAAGAGAGAGAAAGAGAGAGAAAGAGAGAGAAAGAGAGAGAAAGAGAGAGAAAGAGAGAGAAGGTGGATGAGAAAAAGACCAACGAATAAAAACGTGACACGTCACTTTAAAACCCATGAAAAAGCGTCTCTAAAATCCTTTGGGAAGAATCGATTGTAAAAATATTTTCTTTTTTTGCTTTTATTTTTAATGCAATAATTCTATGAACTCCTCCTTAAGAGACGCTGTTGAAGGTGCTCTAATGTACAAAACAGATATTTTTGAGTTTTTATTACAAAAAGACACTTTTCTACTATTTGGACACTGAAAATGACTAAAAACCAATTTCATTAACACACAATTGCTTATATATATTCTTTATTTATTTAAAATTATATTAATATCACACATTCCCCCATAATTGTTTTTTAAAAAATAATCGAATTATTATTTTGATACTATAAATTATATAATTCTTTTCTTAATACTTTGATATCCAATTTATATTTTTTAACCTAAATTATTTTATCGTTTATTAATAAACACATATGTATCCATATAGTAGCGTACATGTGGACACAAATATATGGATATCTATGCAATTATATAGATATATACATATATACACATATATATCCATATAGTAGCATACACGTGAACACAAATATATGGATATTGATGCAATTATATATATATAGATATATATGCATATCCACGTGCATAGAGTATAGATGGATTAACTATATAGATACACATGTATATTTACATGTGTATCTATATAGTTGCATACATATAGACACAACTATATAAATATATAAGCATATCAACGTGCATATGGTATAGATAAATGTAACTATATAAATATATATGCATATTTACATGTGTATTTATTTAGTTGCATATATATAGGTGGGTTCTGTGAAATTTAGTATGTGGAAGCAAATGAGTTAAGATGAGTCCTGTGTGATTTAATGTGTAGAAGCTGATGAGTGAAGTTAAATGGATCTCATACGTGTTAATATTTTTCTTTTTGAAAAATTATGTTAACAAAAATAAAATGGCTAAAAGTCAAAAAATGAAAGCAAAGTAAGATAAGAGCAGCGGCCATAGTCCTATACTCAGCCTCAACGGAAGAGTGAGACACCGTTTTCTGCTTCTTGGTTTTCCAAGAAATAGGCGAGCCTCCAAGCATCACAACAAAAGCACTAGGAAACTGTCGTGTTAAGGGACAAGACGACCAATCGGCATCACAATAAATAGTAGTGTAAGATCGGAATCCGACTTAAGCCAAATCCCTTGACCCGGTGACCCCTTTAAAAATTGCACCACTTGAAGCGCAGCAAGCTAATGTGCTTCTTTTGGTGCTTGCATAAACTGCGATAAGATGTGAACGAAATAACATAATTCCGGACGTGTGTTTAAGAGATATATGAGGCGACCAACAAGGCGCCTATACTTCGATGGATCAGCGAGAGTCTGTGATTCTGCTCTAGCGGTGTTGGAGCTGGCCTGCATCCTAAATTACCTGTCTCAGCGATAATATCCAACGCGTACTTGCGTTGTGATAAGAAAATACCTTCTGGGACACGACTTACTTCAATACCAAGAAAGTATTTGAGACGTCTCAAATCCTTCATGGCAAAACAACGCTCAAGTATTCCTTAATTTTCTTAACCATATGAGCATCATTACCACAAATAAGAAGATCGTCACAGTCGGGATTAACCAATCCTCGTCACAGTCAACTGAAGTAACTTGAGTAGAAGAATCGGGTGGAAGAATCTTTGACTCAGCAAAAGGAAACACTTCCTCACGAAAGACAACATCGCAAGATATCAAGAATTCATTACGCTCAATATCATAGACCAAACTTATCCTTGTTGCGAATCACACGATGTGCATAACAAGCTGAACCGAACACCCGAAGTTGATTATAATCCGGTTTGACACCGTGAAGTACCTCATATGGAGAACCCCCTTGGAGAATCGAAGTTGGTGTTCGATTCATTAAATAGGCTGCTGTTAGAACCGCTTCGCCCCAAAATTTAATAGGAAGTATTGCCTGAAACATTAGAGCTCGTGAGACAATAAGAATATGCATATGTTTTCTTTCGACGCGTCTATTTTGTTGCGGTGTCCCAACGCAAGACGTTTGGTGTATGATTACATGATCTCGAAAATAAGAAGAGAGTCATGAACTCTGTACCGTTATCACTTCGAACAGATTTAACAGGCTTGTGAAATTGTTTTTCTGTGTATGCAAAAAGTTGCATTAAAATCCCTTTGACTTCTAACTTTGCTAGCATCAGATAAGTCTAGACAGCTCTTGAAAAATCATCAACGATCGTTAAAAGATACATTGCACTGCAGGAAGAAGGAACTCTATAGGGTCTCCAAATATCAACATGAATAAGAGAAAAACACTGTCGTTTTATGTCACAAACTATCAGGAAAAACTTCGCGAGTTTGTTCAGCTCGAAAACAAATGTCACAAAAACTAGAGGTAGCTAACATTGAAGAATGAGAAACAAAAGACAAATCCGAAAGAACTGAAAACGACAGATGTCCCAAACGCTGATGCCACAGAGCTTGATCTTGACTACCAACTACCCGATGACTCTTTGCTGCGACAATATCCTTAAAGTAATAGATTCCATCACGCTCTTCATCGGTTCCAATCAGGGTCCTCGAAAAACGGTCCTATAAAACACAAATTGTATCAGTAAAAATTGTGAAACAGTTTGTTTTTTTCAACAATTTTGCAACAGAGATCAAAGTGCAATTTAGGTCTGGGACATAGAAAAGTCGCTGTAAAGAGATTTTTGCAGAAAGAGGAAAGACTCCCATGCTTAAAGCAAATGTCTTACTACCATCAGCAAAACCCACAGAACAAGGTGAAATACTCTCGATATTGGTTAAGAGAGACAGATTTTCTGTCATATGGTGGGAAGCACCAGTATCAAGAATAACATCACCCAAACCATCCTTACCAGACAACTTATCTGAAGTGTGTGTTCCTGACTTTTCTTGAAGTAGTCCAACACAGGCTGCCTATCTTGTCTACACGACGCGAGCTGAGCCTTAATCTGATGGACCCGAACCTCGTTACCCACTGAGAAACGTTCCTTCAAATTATCCCAAAGCTGATGAGCATCGGAGATGTAAGTTACCGTGCTTCTGACTTTAGGTTCGATGGAAGAACGGATCCAACCAATGACCATTGAATTTACTGACAACCAGTTTTTGAGATCAGGACTAGAATCTCTGGGTTTCTTCAAAGTACCGTTGAGGAAACCCAGCTTTCGTTTTGCTTGAAGAGCATTAAGCATCTCCGCCAGACAACTCATTGTAATTTTCTCCATTTAACATAACTGAAGTGATCAAAACTCCCGGGTTGTCCGAGGCGTACAACGTGTACATCATAACCGTCTCGCTGCTTTGATCTGTCGCACCACTTTTAGTGCTTGAGAACTCAACTCCATCAACCATCTTTGCTGAAACTCAATTAGAGAACAACACAACACCAACTCAGAGATTTTAGGTTTCAAAAATCTTCTGCTCTGATACCATGTAAATTTCGATGACTTAATGACTTATCTTATTGATTTCACAAACAGGGTATTTATACAAAGACAATGACCGACCTTTTCCTTAACCTAATGGGCTTAGGCTTACAAACTTAATTAACCGACAATATACATTTACAGCCCAATACCCAAACCGATGAAGAAGAAGCAGGGTTTGAAAAAAAAAAGCTTTTTAGGGTATGATCCAATTGACAAAAGATTCAAGGTACTGTTTTCTTGTGAAGGGAAGCATCAAACTCTGACATTAGAAACTGGAAAAGTGTCATGGAGGACGATCAAAATTCCATTAACATTGGTGAAGGAATATGCATCAATGGGATATTGTATTACGTAACTCCCAAATCTGATTTTCGTAAGGTTTTAGTTTGCTTTCATGTTAGGTCCAAAGAGTTTGGTTTCTTAAAGCAAAAGCTACTAAATGACTTGGTCTATTTTTGGCGTACCAAACTAAAAAATTACAAAGGAGGATTATTTGGGATAGATGGTTTGAAAGGTGTAATGGGTAAATTACAAGAGTTTACTAAGGAATTGGGTTAAATGGTTCTGTAACCAAGGTGGAATTTGTCGGGTGGGTTTTGGATATCAAACCATTTTTTCAATCTATCTATCTATATACTTATTTTTGTAGTGATTTGCTTACGTGTTATAGCGAGTTTCACAACCTTTCGCTTACGTGTCAACTCCAGAATCAGTTTCGGCTATAAAAAAACCGTTTAACCCTATAGAGCAATTACATATCATTTTTAATTAGTTTTTAACTGATGATTAATCTATTATATAACCAGCTATTGCTTCTCTTCTCTCTTTTTAAGTCTTTGTAACCAAACACAGAAGATGATGAATGGAGGAGATAACTCAGATCCCATCCCGATTGATCTCATCCTCAGAGATATTGTGGAGATCGTCGGCTAAGTTAGTCGCTAGGTTTCATCTTGCATCCAAGTTTTGAGCGTCCATACTTCTTAGCCGTCCAGATTTCACAGAATTTTTCCTGGCTAGGTCTTTGTCTCCGCCGCATCTCTTCTTCTACTCGTAGCCTCAGACTCAGAATATAGATGACAAGTCGTCTCTTGTAGTAACTGCAGAAGCTCATATATATAGAACCGGACCCCCAGGAGACACAATGTGCCGAGAACTTTGTGGCCCTATCTGTGGTTTGATCTATTCCCCTAACATGCAAATCTAAAAGGGGGATTTGAGCACAGTACATGAGCTTACCCAAATCAACGAAGAAGAAGAAGGGTTTGGAAAAAAAAATTTCTAGGGTATGATCCAATTGACTAAAGATTCAAGGTACTCTTTTCTTGTGAATGGAAACATCAAATTCTGACATTAGGAACTGGAAAAGTATCATGGGGGACGATCAAAATGCCATTGGCCCATGATCCTTTAGGTGAAGGGGTATACATCGATGGGGTTTTGTATTATTTAGCTCCCAAACCTGTTGTAATTGGTTGTCGGCCTTGTGCGAATATATATAGTTTGCTTTGATGTTAGATCAGAAAACTTTGGTTTCCTGAAGGTAAAGCTATTAACGAAATCTTTTATTATTGGCCTACCAAACTGATAATTTACACGGGTGTATTAAGCGTGGTTAGTACGCAATGGCATAGTCAGTCACTCAATCTGATGGAGGGTTTAGCATTGATCTTTCATTGTGGGTTCTATAGAGGATGCCAAGAAACAAGAATGGTCGATCGACAAGTTATTTCTGTTTGAGACCTGGATGATGGATGTCATACCATTCATACCATTAACTTTCATTTTTGGGTTCTAGAAGATAACAAGAAACAAGAATGGTCGAAACACGTTTTCTCGGTGGAAAAAATCCTTGAGACTCCAGATGCTTCTTGTAGCTTAGCTGTGGTTGGAGTGACTGCTACAGGTGAACTTGTTTTTTCGATACACTATACATCTAAACCGACCTATGTTTTCTACTTCAACCCCTAAATTGAACATTCTTGAAAGATTTGAAATCCAAGGTTTTGAAGAGTTTGGTAGTCGTAGTAAAGTTTACACCTACTTTGTAGAACATGTAGCAGATCACAATTTTATAACATCGAGTCTAGCTGGTTTGTCTGTTGGTGCGACTTCTGATCATATTTCATGTGAGCTATATTACTTTTTTGGCTATTATTTATTTTTTTCTTCTTCTTTTTTGGCTATTCAGTTTTTTCATGCCTTTGTGTTACACGTTTTTTGAGAGTGCAGAATAATGCTTGATGCGTTTTCAGCCAAACTCTTTTCGTAAAGATTTATATCATTGTTTAAAGGTTCTTTAAGACCCAAAAATTGATCTCTTGTCCCTTTTCTTGATAGTTAATAAATATAAGCAAGATCATGATTATTGCCACCTAAACACGGAACAGATTTGTGGAACATAATGATAGGAATTTCTGAACTATGAAAATAGAAACTGGTTTGTATTACTACGATTTCTCATAAATTGAAATTGAAACTGGTTTGTATTTTTGACCAAAGATACGTAAAGCGACGAAATTTTCTGGTATTTGACCAACAAATTAGATATTATTGATGATTAGCTTTTACTGACTAATTTATCAACAGCCAAACGGGTACAATGGACTTTAATTAAATCAATGGGACATAAGTCGCATAACCATAGATGATAAATGACACAGCAGTACAAATTGACCCCCCCCCCCCCCCCCTGTAAATGTCTTCAGTTCACCAACCCATCAATGGTCTTCTCACCTTATTAGCAATCTCATTCTTAGCAGAAGCCCCACCGAGCTTGAACAAACAGATTTCATCCAGAAGAAATTTATATACTTCCCATTCTCGGTCACTAGCCAGACACAGTTAGGAAATTGGATGTGGATCAGTAACTTCATAGATAATTAAACTTCATTCGTTGTAAATCATTTGCTAATCCAGTAAAATCTGTATATCCCATTTGAAATTCAAATTATTGAAAATATAGTGATAGGAAATAATGTGAATAGGAAGAAATAGACTTTTCCAAATTTTGTAATATTGAAGTTATACGTCTTGCTTGACTAGTTACAAACAAAACAGGCTAAAGGTATTTGCAAAGATTAATGGAGCAAATGTATAATCGAGACTTCAAAATAGGTAAAAGACTGGTAGAAGACTGTGCATATATCATGCTTTGAAATAAAATTTAGTCCTCAAAAAATGATATCATATCAAATCGGAAAAAAAAAAATGATATCATAAGACAGCACATGTGACAGGTTGGGCATAGAAACCAAACTGCCTGAATATTAGAGCATGTAGACAGAATTAAACTATCCACTCACAATCATCCTCTCTATAGCCCTTTCATCTCGTTTCATTCGGGCTTGGTTTGACGGATGTTAATTAACTCACGATCTTTGACGGATGCATTTACTCTGAGTTTGAGCATATCAAGTTTGGTTACACAAAAGAAAACTGTTGCATTTTTGTGTGAATTAACTCTCACTAAGGTTATAGTTTTTTTTTTTCACCACTAAGGTTATAGTTATTCCTCATATACTGTATCTATAACTGACTTGTACTTGTATCTGGTGTGTCCGAGAAAACCACCACCGCTTACTACATGAGTATCCCCCTAGGCCCTATCAATATATCCCATGACAATTTTCTAGTCCTCTACAATGACGATGCGACCAAGTCAAACGATGAATACAACTTTGAGAGTTGCCATGTGCGTTTAATCATCGTTGTGAGTATTATGAGCACCTATGCTTTTAGTTACTTCCATTTGAAAAAAACAATTTGTTCAAGGCCTTTGAGTATGGAAGCAGGGTACGTTTAATACAACACATTTAGGTCCAAAAATTCTGTAAAGTAATCAAAAAGCTAAGTGTAACCATCTGAGTTAACATGTAATAAATAAATAAAATTTTACTAAGCTTAGTAGTAATAAAATTCGCTGTAGCACACTGGTTAATTTCAAACCTGCATTGACAATTGAAATCTCTACCGCACTTTGAAATCTGCAGCGGAATATTTTTATTTTATATTGTTTCATGTTCTAAATTGCTAGCTACGCTATTTCCTTTAATGAGATTTTGTAGATTTCCTTATCCTATTAGAAGTTCAACTTCTATATAATATAACCAGCGATTGCTTCTCTTCTCTCTTTTTAAGTCTTTGTAACCAAACACAACATGATGAATGGAGGAGATAACTCAGATCCCATCCCGATTGATCTCATCCTCAGAGATACTCTCGAGATCGTCGGCTAAGTTAGTCGCAAGGTTTCGTCTTGCATCCAAGTTCTGAGCGTCCATACTTCTTAGCCGTCCAGATTTCACAGAGTTTTTCCTGGCTAGGTCTTTGTCTCCGCCGTGTCTCTTCTTCTACTCATTGCCTCAGACTCAGAATATAGATGACAAGTCGTCTCTTGTAGTAACCGCATATGCTCATATATATGGAACCCCCCAGGAGACACAATCTGCTGAGAACTTTGTGGCCCCGTCTCTGGTTTGATCTATTCCCCCTAACATGCAAATCTAAAAAGGGGATTTGAGCACAGTACATGAGCTTACCTAAACCAATGAAGAAGAAGAAGGGTTTGGAAAAAAAACTTTCTAGGGTATGAATGTATGATCCAACTGACTAAAGATTCAAGGTACTGTTTTCTTGTGAATGGGAACATCAAATTCTGACATTAGGAACTGGAATAGTGTCATGGGGGACGATCAAAATGCCATTGGCCCATGATCCTTTCGGTGAATGGGTATACATCGATGGGGTTTTGTATTACTTAGCTCCCAAACCTGTTGTAATTGGTTGTCGGCCTTGTGCGAATATATATAGTTTGCTTTGATGTTAGGTCAGAAAGTTTGGTTTCTTGATGGTAAAGCTATTAACGAAATCTTTTATTATTGGCCTACCAAACTGATAATTTTCACGGGTGAATTAAGCGCGGTTAGTACGCAATGGCATAGTCACTCAATCTGATGGAGGGTTTAGCATTGATCTTTCTTTGTGGGTTC